GTTGGTTTGGGGACCTCCATTTTAGAGATGATACAGTGGTGCTCAGAGAGGTTAAGCGATTTGCTCAGGGTCACAGAGCAGGGTGATAGGGAATCCATTCTGCCTGACTCTCAACCCTTGTGTCTGACAATGTGACCTCTTCTGAGCCATCTTCATTGTCTCTGTGGCCTAGACTGTGATGTACAGTATTCTTCCCTGGTTTCCTCCTAAAGGGCCTGCAGAATGAGAGAGGGAATTCAAGACTATTCCTTCAGAACCCTCATCCCAGGGACTGAGGGTCAGCATGAAGTGCGTCATGTACTAATCTTTTCAGCAACTCTTTACTGAGCACCTACTAGGTGCCAGGCACTGTTCCAGGCCTCGGGGATTAGGCCGTGAAGCAGTGTCATGGATCTCTGCCCTCAGGGAGCTGGCATGCTGGCGTCCAAGGCCTGCCTCTCCCGGCTGGCCTGCAGCTGCACTTCCTCCTTGCTGCACTTGGTGGCTGACCTGTGACAGGGGCCTGGTGAAGACGTGCTGAGTGCATGGGTGAGTGTGATACAACTTGACAGAGTGATAAGCAGCAGGCTGGTGGGGACCTGGGCCTCGAACTCAGGACCCTGAAACTTCCATCACAGAAGAGAGCCTTGCTAAACAAAACCCAAGTTCAAATCCAGGACCCACCACCTCCAGACCCACAAAACCTTGGGCAACTCCCAGTTTTTTCATTTGTGAAGGAAGAAAGGTAACAGTTTTCCTTGTAAGGTTATTTTGAGACAGTAAACGTAGAAAGCACTTACTATGTGTGGGACATGATTCTAAGCACTTTGAAATACATTATACACATCAAATCATTCAACCCTCATAATAACCCTGTGATATAACTACTATTATTACTCCTATTTTACAAGTGAGGAAAGTGAGACTCTTATATGCTAAACCATTAGCCCAAAGTCACACATTATTAAGTGGCAGAGCCAGATTTGTACCCATGCAGGGTGGCTCCAGAATCTGACATCCTTAACCACTGGGCTATCTCTGTTGCCCCTGGTGAATGAGACAACAGGTGTCCACACAGGATCTTGTGCACAAATGTTCACGGCAGCATATGCAAAGTAGCCAAAGAGCGGAAACAACCCAAATGTCCATCAACAATGAGTGGATAGACAAAATGTGGTATATCCATTCAATGGAATAATATTCAGCCCTGAATTGCTGATCACTTGATAAATAAAAAGAAAAAAGAAAAAATATTCAGCCATAAAGAGGAATGAACCTTAAAAACATGGTAAAACCAGAACCCAAAGCCTACATTTCATTCTTCTATTTATGTAAAATGTCCAGATAGGCAAATCCAGAGAGACAAAGTAGATTAGTGGTTGCCAGGGGCTGGAGGTAGGGGGACGAGTAATCACTGCTAATGACTGCCGGTTTCTTTTGGGGCGACGATAAATTTCTAAAGTGGATCGGATTCCAGTTGCATAGTTTTATGAATATGCTAACCACACTGAATTGTACACTTAACAATGGTGAATTTTTTGATACATGAATTCAATAAATTTTTTTGAAAATAATAGTATCTACCTGTATTCAGTTGTGAGGATTAAATGAGTTAGATCGGATTCCAGTTGCATAGTTTTATGAATATGCTAACCACACTGAATTGTACACTTAACAGTGGTGAATTTTTTGATACATGAATTCAATAAATTTTTTTGAAAATAATAGTATCTACCTGTATTCAGTTGTGAGGATTAAATGAGTTAATATTTATAAGTCACTTAGAACAGCATCTGGCATATGGTAACACTACATATTTGGTTATCCTGACATGAATGCTTACTATGGCACTGACCCAGGTATTGGGAATATACTGATGAACAGACAGGAACTTTTCCCTGCCCTATTGGGGACCACAGTTTTGAGGGGAGATGGGTATTAATCAAATATTGCATTAACTGCTTCGTGCCTACCTCCCTTTTCAAGGGCTCCTCTTTGACCTTTATCCTACAAACATGGTGTTTCTTCCTCCTCCCTCCTCCTCTATCCTTAGGACACACAGAGTCCCTTTGTGACGAATTACCAAATCAGATACGAAAGAGGGACATCACTACAGATCCTACAGGGAAATATTATGAACTACTTTATGCCAATCCATTTGACAACTTAAATGACAAGAATAAATTCTTTGAAAGACACAATCCTTGGGTGATCTCATTCACAAGGGCACCAGCCACGTGCCAATGATATCCAACCTTCTAATTTCTGCCCAGCTCTCCTGAACTTCAGACTCCCATTTCAATTGTCTCTTAAGCATTTTCACGTGGAAGTCACCAGGTACCTGGAACTCAACATTCAGGACAGAACTCACTTATTTTACCTCCTCCTCTTCCTCCTCCTCTTCCTCATATCTTCAGCATCAGTTCATGGCACCTGCTTCCACCCAGGCACCCAAGCTAGAAACTTCAGGGTCTGCCTTGGCCCCTCCTATCCCTCGATCCCCACCTCCAACCTATCACAAAGCCCTGTTACAATTATGAAATACAATCTGTATTTCAAGCATACAGAAGAAATATAGGCACACACCACCCAACTTTGTTAAATCTTAACATTTTACATATTTTCCTCACATCTTTACATTTTTAAAATATATTATATCAATTACTTATTTAGTCTGTCTGTTCAGCATCCCCATCCCATTAGAAAACAGGGATTTTTGTTTGTTTTGTTTACTATAGTATTCCCAGTACCTAAAACAGCCCCTGCAACATAGCAGGCCCTAATAAATATTTGATGGATGGATGAATGAAAAACAGGGATTTTTGTTTGTTTTGTTTACTATAGTATTCCCAGTACCTAAAACAGCCCCTGGAACATAGCAGGCCCTAATAAATATTTGATGGATGGATGAATGAATGAATGAATGAATGAATGAATATAAAACATTCTAGGTAGAGTTGAGCCCTCTGTGTACCCTCTGCAGATCTCAATCCCTTTCCTCTCTCCCCACATGTAACACCCATTCTGATCTTGTTGTTTATCATTATCACACACATGTTTATTCTTTTACTGTATTTATGTAAATAGCATTGAATATTGCTTTGCACATTTTGAACTTATATAAATGATATCCCGTTGTTTTATCCTCCTGCAACTTTCTTTTTATTCACTAGATACATGTAGTTCTGGATTATTCACTTTAACTTCTGTAGAGTATACCATTGTAGGAATACACTGCATAGTGCAGTGGTTAG